TTGTGAGCCCTCTTTACCTGGTCACCCGCAAGAAGAACGATTTCCACTGGGGCCCTGAGCAGCAGCAAGCCTTTGCCCAGATCAAGCAGGCGATCGCTCATGCAGTAGCCCTTGGCCCAGTCAGGACAGGACCAGATGTGAAGAACGTGCTCTACTCTGCAGCCAGGAACCATGGTCTGTCCTGGAGCCTGTGCCAGAAGGTGCCTGGTGAGACGCGAGGCCAACCACTGGGATTCTGGAGTCAAAGTTACAGAGGGTCCAAGGCCAACTATACTCCAACAGAGAAGGAGATCTTAGCTGCCTATGAAGGAGTTCAAGCTGCCTCAGAGGTGATTGGCAAGGAAACACAACTCCTCCTGGCACCCCAACTACCAGTGCTGGAAAAACAAGTTCTTTGGAGGCATGGTACCCCTGAGAGAATTGAGTCAGACAATGGGACTCATTTCAAGAACAGCCTTATAAACACCTGGGCTAGAGAACACGGCATTGAGTGGGTGTACCATATCCCCTACCACGCACCAGCTGCAGGGAAAGTTGAACGGTGCAATGGCCTGCTTAAAACCACCTTGAAGGCACTGGGTGGGGGAACTTTCAAGAACTGGGAGATTAATCTACCAAAGGCCACCTGGTTAGTGAACACCTGAGGTTCCACTAACTGAGCAGGGCCTGCCCAATCTGAGCCCTTGGGAATATCAGATGGAGATAAGGTTCCAGTGGTACACATGAGAGGTATGCTAGAAAAAACTGGGTGAATCCTGCCTCCAGCAAAGACAATCCCATCCATGGAGTTGTATTCGCTCAAGGACCGGGCTGCACCTGATGGGTGATGCAAAAGGATGGAGAGACCCGATGCATACCCCAAGGAGACCTTGTTTTAGGGTGAAATACTTATGGTACTGTGCTTATATCTGTAACTGCATGTATGTATAGAATGTAATGGTTTTAATTTGGTATAGCATATTAGTATGGGAAAAATTCAGGGGTGGATAATGTTGAGGGTCGAATTGTTCCCTTTTGTTTCTGTGGAGTTTTTCCCATTGTTATGCTAAGTATTTGTGGCTACACTTTAGTAGCAATAGTTTTCTCTCGCAGGGAGGTGGGGCATAGGGGAACACCGGAAAAGGAAAGGTGGGACAGGGGCCTGGGCTCTCTCTCACTCTCACTTGGCTCGTGGAGTGGTAGGAGGACGGCCAGTGCTCCGATCCAGCACCTCCCCTGCCATCCCAGCACCGGGAGCCATGTTCCCTGCCATTGGACATCGCTCTGCTGCTTTCCCACCTGACCCTACTACCTCCGGGCACTCTGCCGAGCACCACGACCGACACCGTGAGGGGGGAGCGGCTCCTCCATCCCTCTCAGCCCTGGGCCCTGCTGCCATCACCCAGCGCCTTCAGCTGCGCGGGGCCTGCCCTGCCCCCAGCACCGGGAACTGAGCGCAGGGAGAGAGGCCTTGGCCAAAGGGACTAGAACTGAGCTACACTGTTCTGTTCTGTTGTCAGTTTTTATAGCTGTTGTTGTTTCTGCTGTTTTGCCTTGTTAGATATCAGTAAAGAACTGTTATTCCTATCCCCATATCTTCTGCCTGAAAGCCTCTGATTTGAAACTATAATTATTAGAAGGGAGGGGGTTGCACCCTGCATCTCAGGAAAGAGGCTCTCGTCTTTCCTTAGCAAAATACCTGTCTTTCAAACCGAGACAATCTGTTCAAGGTGAAGCTAATGAGAGCATTCCTCCAAATTTCAGCAACAGCAGCAGTGGGAGTCGTAATATATAAGACCAGGAAGACAAAAGTCTAGAGACTGGAAGTTAGGCTCAGTTTTGCCTTCAGCAAGCTAGTAACTTATTTAGCTGTGCCTTGACACCTCCATCTTCACAGGAAAACAGAGAAATTACTGAATTCATAGGACTGCCTCAAAGAAAATATATCAGCATCAATAAACCAGGAAATTTTTCTGTTCTTTTCAAATTCTTTTCAAATGCCATAAAAGCATCTAGTAATAATCAAATTCCTGTCAATCAATCCAGTTAGCTCATGTGATACTTCACTTGTTTCTAATTTGTCAAATATTTATTTCAGTCTGCTTACATATTGTCTGGGAAAATAAGTTACATATGAGAGTGTTTCCTCCATGTAATGCATGTAATGCAGCTTTTAATCACTTTTGTAATGAGTGAAGCATTTGAAGTTTTCTGGCCTCTTCAATAAACACTTTGAAAATGCATATATTATTCAGACTCAATAAAGAAACAACCACCTTGGAAAATCACACATACAAAACGTTACACACAGGTGATTAAACATGTGATAACAATTCTCCTTAAATCCCAATACTTTTGAATGCCAAAAGGTTTTACCATACACAGACACAATAAAATCACTTGGTGTGTAGGTAGATCATGCTTAAATTGGATTTTCACAGCACAGACAAGGGTTACAGATATATTAATTGAGGATAATATTGATTATAGCTCTGGCACAGAAACCTAACACTCTTCACTGTTAAACAGGATCAAGTTGTCAAACTCCGTACTTTAGAAGCAATCACTGTTGGGGCAGAAGTTTCTGGTATAGCTCAGTTTTCTGACCAAATGTTGCTTACTACAATGTTACATATCATATAGAGAAGAGCCAGAACTATTCTTATCCAGAATCACCTGCTGCAAATCTATCTCCTCGCTCTGCAAAAGTGTGTTTTAGTGCTGGCTCAAGTACAACAGGTATGGTGCCAAAACCTGACCATCATCCAGGTCCTTTTCATTTGAGCTTATTTTCAGGAGGTTCTTGTTTATCAATAATAAACTTGCTTTAGTTCAAACTGCTGGGATTTCTGAAACATTCCAGAAATGTCTGTCTGGGTGAGTCGATTTCAAACTGCAGTGGTAATCTGCGTCAGCCCGAGGTCGTTGGACTCCTCCCTCTCCTGAGGACAGTAAGATGACATTTCCACAACTAGTCATACAGGCTTGTTTGTCCCACCTGCTTCCCTCATGTAAGCTGGGTCTTGCACAGTGTTTCTGACTCTGCTGGTGCTCTGCCTGTCCATCCTCATCTTGAAGGGGAAGCAGAAGTCCTTGAAGCATCTCTTAAAGTTTTCATCCAAAAATGCATAAAGGATTGGATTGAGGCTGCTGTTGGTGTAACCCAAAGCAATGCAGAAGTAATAGCTGGATATGGCAGCAGTACTGTGGGACACGTCCCCTAAGGCCTCAACCAGCACGAAAATGTGAATAGGAGTCCAGCAGATGATAAAAACTGCCACAACCACAAGAACCAACCTGGTGATGCGACGCAGGTTTCGATCTTTTTCTCGAGACCCGGAGAGAAGCCGCACGCTTTTCAGGCGCAGAATCATCAGAGTATAGCAAACAATTATAATGAGAACTGGAATAACAAAAGCAAAGACGAAGACACAGATTTTCATGAAGATGTCCCACCACACATAATCTCTGTCTGGAAACTGCAAGGAGCATTCAGTGCTAGCAGTATCTAGAAACGAAGGAAGTAAGAAGAAAATTGCTTTGTTATTACACACTCTAAACAATGTCATTATCATAGCATAAGCTAGGAAAAATGATTAGCATGTACTGTGATATTAATAAATGGAGTTATCATTAAATCACTCTAAGGAAGCTTTCAGTTACTATTGAAACTGGTTTTATGCAGCTGTCTAGAAATTACTGAGTTTTGAGCTTTTTTAAATGCAAAATATTGTATGAAATCTCATTCCCATGGGAGGATCTAAAAAAGCACAGCACAAAAACAAAATCTGTAAAGTTGTTTCTATTTGAATCTCACTGAAATTTAAAACCAGACTAAGTACCATGTTCAGCAAAGTAGAAATCTCATCATTATTATCAAACTACATATGTTTTTGTCTGTGGGTGGAGAAAGATTTTTGATAACATGAAGGATAGAAGCTGAAGGAGGTTTCGATAGTAAGAAAATTTTGCCAATATACGATAATTGTGTAATGATCTTTTCCCATGTGTCTTTTTACAGCACAAATAGAGTACACACAAATGCTTACATTCAGAAAAACTCCTGGAAACATCTTCTTTTCTGTTAAGTAGAAGCAAATTAAATACATGTGTGCATGGAGTCAAATGGAAGCTACTCTTTTTGCAGATCATGCCTGTGTAGAGACTGCAGGATCTGGGCCACAGAGATCAGCCCACTCCCTTTCCCATTACCCATGCCAGGATTCAGAGCCACAGGCTGTCACCTGAATGCATTTAACAGAAAGATTTAAGCTGAAAGGAGGCAGCTAAGGAATTAAATACTTGAGGTTTCATTTGCTGACCTCATCAGAGCCTTCCAGCATATAAAACATATGGAAAAATAAGTAATAAGATAAATGAAAAGGCAAGTGAAGGAGTAAATTTATAACTCTACTGAAGATAAGTCAGGGTAACACATGGATTTTTCACTCTGAATTGTAGCTTAGATTTTATCCTGTATAATTCTTTGGGTTTCTTTATCATTTTCCCTACTGAGTTTGTCATTCCTCTACAAATTATTATGTATTGTTTTTCGTTGATTCAGATCTAACAGTGGAATACTCCTGCACATCACTTTTTCATATCTATCTCCATCAAGACAAATCAGAACTAAAAAAAATCAGGCCATATTTCCCTGCTATAAGAATGTTTCCCTAATAAAAAAATATTGCAGAGATTTTGTTTTGAAAAACAATTAGGGGAAGAAATTATCATTATAGTGCCATACACATATTTCTGTGCTTAGATATCAGGAAGCTGTTACTGGGCAATATTGAATATGGAAACATTTTAATAGAAAACATTACAGCAAAGAAAGGTAAATATTTTGAGGTTTTATTTAAAACAATATGTATGATTCTGAAAGCTGAAAATGGAAAAGACATCTTTTTCAAGGCCAATGCAGGATACTCAGATGACACCACAAGTATGACTTGACACTCAATGAATCTAAATCCTTTGTGATGTAGGCTTTCATAAGCATCATTACTTTCACTTAATTTCATTCTAGAAATGACAACAATCATCTTCAAAGATGCTTTCCTATCAATTATCACTGTTATTTGTAGTAAATCATGGCTGAGCAGCAGACATAAAATCAGGATGCAGCTGTATTATCTAAATTAGTAAAACTGCCTCCAGATGTGTGAGATAAAAATGAAGTGTGATCAGGGATGGCTGCTCCAGACCACATCCAGCTACTCACTGAAACTCATTCCAAAAAGAAATAACCTCTTCAGATCTACTGACATAATTTCACATATTTATCAAAATTATTAGGTCATCCTCACTATATTTTGGTTTAATTTGTGGTTGGCAATGTTATTCTAGAGTTCCAAATTATCAAATACAAACTGAATTATTATCTTACATCTCATTGCAGTTTACTTTCTATGGAAAATCTTATTCTAAATTCATTAATATTCAAGTATTGAACTTGATATATGTAATGCCATAGCATAGTGCTTTATGAAACCCATTTACATTTTCCCAGTTTACAAGTAGGAAACAGTCAATAAAAATTCTGGTCATAATGCACAATACCACATTAATTTTCTGGAACTTTGGAAGTGGAATATAATAAAATCCAATTTATATTTTAGTTTTACTGCCTGAAAAGTTGCAGAACTATGAATGGAGTCATAAACTTCAGATTTCATACTGACATTTTCCACTTTGAAAGTCAAATATTCCAAATATATTTTTATATTCAAGGAAAACCACTGAATTCTATATGGTATTTGGTGTAAACAAATTTTATAATGTGCTTGATAAGCTATCATTTAAGATTAATCTTAATCTTTATCTAGGAAACATACATATTAGATATATAACATTGATTGTGTCACTTTCATACCTTTCATACCCTTACTGGTAATATGAATAGTTAATTTTATACCTCTATTTTTTTGATAGCTGAAAATTCTTCAGCAAGAAAAGCTCTATTAAGGCCAGAGAAGGAAAATTTACACAGATGTAAAATTTATTCTGCAGGAAATATGTATCTAAAAGGACACACCTGGGAGCAATTCTGAGCTGTGATAAAAAAATGGTATAACTGAGCACGGTGATGGAACTTCAAGTATAACCACTTTCCATTTGCTGTTCAATTGTTGCTTAAATGTGAATCCAACAGAGGCCCTGGAGCATATAAACAGCAACTGTTTTAACCAACATAACATCAGGTTTCAGGCCTGAGCTCCAGCTGTCAGGCAAAGGGAGCATCCTTGCCTTTCCACTTCAGCATTTATCAGCTCAATTCATGAACACATCAGACAAGGTAATTGACACTAAATGCTCAAGAGAGACTTTAGATCAGACAAGCAGGGAGGAACAGTAGCAGCTGACAAGCAGTTGCCAATATTTCCAGCCTCACATAGTCCAGCTGTGCTCTGTATTGCCAGTCTCTGTTTCATAAGTTAAAAAAAAGAGCTGCCTTCGACATGGCATGGAAAAGGCATTTAATCATTGCTGGTCTCAGAGGACCCCCTTGTTCTAAATGTGCTGCTGACATTGAATGACAGGAATATTCTGTTAGCTGAGCATGCTCCAACACAATACCTATCTGAGCCAGTGTCCCATGGCCTTCAAGATCTCGTACATAGCAAGACATTCTTTCCAAATATGCCTGAAGTTAAGGTTTCCCCAGCTAGACCTGTTTTTATAGAGCTTGTCAAAACTACTGAGGAAAAGAGTTACAGCAGAGTTGCAGACCAGGACATGTGATCCCCTAAAGCACTGAATTAGGAGCTTCCAGAGGACTTTTCTGTCACCTACATAACAGAAGATAACAGCAGGAACAAAATCTATATATCTTCAGCCAAACCTATCAGCCCTTGAGCAGCTGATTTTTCACACTGGTCTTTGTCAAACAGCTTAACTTACATTTATTGTCTCTGCCAGATGAAACTGTGTCCTTAGGTAAACATTATCTCAAGAGGAGTGAAACCATTCAAAATAGAAAAGGTTGATAGAGGAGGAAATTATGAATATTTTTTCCAAAGATTGTTTACACCTCAAACAAGACTCCTACCAAATATATGCCTTATATTTTATCCAGCCATCCAGTAATGGGATGACCCCAACCCAAGGACACCATTAGAAGTCTCCAGCCTTTTGAAGACAGTGGCTTGCCCCTGCACTGCATTTACAAATGTAAAGTATGTAGAGTATGAAGCACATGTGTGTGAAAATGCTTCTCCCCCTTCTTCTCAAGGAAGATCTTGAAATCAGATTAATCCCATAGCAGAGTAATGAGTCAGGAGCTATAGGGGCTAAATCCACAGTCCTTCATGGAATAGAAATTTCGAGCAAAGCCTGCATATACATATTCTCCATAGTTTTCATTGACATTGTTCTTGTAGCTGTTTCCCTGCCATACCCTGCATAGCCTGAATTTTCATTTCCTGTGACAATCCTTGTTCTCAGCTTTTCCAGGATTCTATATAAATTCCCCTCTTTTTAAAATATGATCTTGATATATTGTCATATATAATTTATCTTAATTTTCTCTCTCCAGCTACTGACCTTTCCTTTCTTCACCATGCCTTCAAGTTCTGTGAAATGGCTGCTGATAATAAACTCCCAAGGATTCTATTTTCTGCTCTTGGGACTTCATTGGAACTACTCTCACAATACTTACAAAAAGAACCTTAAACCCACTTTTCAAGTTTCAACCTAATCAGATCCTAGATTTTTTTGCCCATTGTGATTAAACTCCTGATAATTTTTCCCTGCTGGCTTCTTGTAGTTTTTATGCTCATCCTAGCACAGGCAGTGCTCCAAAGTGCATTTTGTTCTTTCGTTTGGCACGAGCATCTGAGCTTAAATGATTTATATGTTGTATTGTGATATTCCACTATATATTTTGAAATGTCAGGAATTTAGATGGAATTTGGAAGGAGGGCTAAATAAGGTTTGATCAATATATGAACCTACAATTTATTGTCAGTTGAGAAATAAAACGACTGCATTTTGAATGCTCACACTCACCTTCCCTGACTTTGGTGCCTCCAAGAACTATTGCTGATATACCAACAGATGAGGACAGAAGCCAGATGCAGATGTTGATTATCTTTGCTTTGAGAGGTGTACGAAAGTCCAGAGCCTTCACAGGGTGACACACAGCAATGTATCGATCAACACTCATCATGGTGAGTGTGAAAATGCTGGTAAACATGTTGTAATAGTCAATAGAAATCACTATTTTACACAGCACGTCACCGAAGGGCCAGGAGTTCATCAGGTACTCGGTGCTTTGGAAAGGCATGGTCGTGGTAACAAGTGCATCTGCCATAGCCAGGTTGAAGATGTAGATGTTGGTCGCTGTCTTCATCTTCGTGTACCTGCAGAACAAAAAAAGTGAGGCTTTATTACTACAAGATTTGATTACGTCCCTTCAGATATGTAACAGTTTATGAGTCAGGCTTGTCCATATTTGTGGGCTTTTTGTCTTTTCTCATCTGTGGTAGCAAAATGCACACAAATGCAAGACCCTTGGGATAAGAGTGAACACATTTTATTCAATCTCTCAGCACCTATGTTAGCAGTTAGAGCTATTTACCACAGGCAAATGAGGTATATGAATGCATTTAATGTAATTAGGCAAATTTCAGTTCTATTTTCTCAAATCTCGCTACAAGAAAATATTACTGTTAAATTTGGAAGTGATCAAAATATTTTTAATTTCCTTTTCTTATAGCTATCTGTCAGTGATTGTGAGATACGGGTTTGGTTTGTGGAGGAACCTGTTATTCTATTCTCCAGTAAGAAAACAAGTTAATTGCTATGTCTGCTGGGCCAGGTTCCTTCTTATATGATAGTTTGTCTTCCTTGAATTCACTAGAGTGCCAGCTGATAAAGTGATAGTAATTTATCTTCCTTGTTCTTTCCTTGCCAATTTCTTCTCCTTTCTTATCATCAGCTTCTCCCAGCCCCCTCTTTTATGACTGATAATGTAAAAGATCACTATTCTTTAAGTAAGATACCACAGTGGGAAAAATCTGTCATAGCGGTATTTTTTTCTGCATTCTTTAATTTTATCAAAAGTGAGCCCTTGTTTTGTCCAGCTGGTAGGAACCTCAGCCTACACAGAAAAATAGGATTTGATTTTTGACATGAAAACCTGCTTTTCTCAGCCCCAGTGACAGTTTTGGGAGACAGCCTGTGGAGTACTAATTCCCTCTACGGACACAAAGGATGATGGAGAGCATCCTAACATGGGAATTTACCTATCACTCCTTTCTGAAATGCTCAATCAATACTTCAGTTCTTCTCAATACTTGGTTTGCTCATTGCTGTCAATTTATCATTGGATTTAATGAGATTCTCTTTCTCAAAACTGCTTCAATCCCATATTTTGAGTGTGTGTCTAAAATAGACTGTGCAGGTGTAACGCCCATAGAAAAATACATAGCTACATTTTGCTCTGTCTCTAATAACTTACAGTGGAAATACAAGATTCAACCACTTTAGTCAATGAACACATAGGGCAATGTGTCTATTTGCCTTTAATTCTTTGATGTCTAGAATAAAATATTATTTAAAAAGGAAATAGAGCAGTGCTGTCAAATTGTGCCCAATATGTAAATTATCTATTAAATAAAATATAGACAGGAATTTCATTTTATGACCAATATGAAATGTTAAAAATAGCATTGGTTTTTCTAAAACCTTCAAATTAAGACTTATCAAGGAAATAAAGCCAAATAATGGTTTGAAGCAAAGGGGAAAACACTGCAAGGGAAGAGAGAATACATCCTTCTCACCCACGTACTGACCCATCAGTCAGAGATGGGCTTCTGCCCCCCACTAGATCAATATCCTCAGGAAAGGAGGCATTCTATCCTGTAGCTTACATTATAGCACTTAAGGCACTTTTTAAACACAAATATGAGTTCTTACAGCTAGAAAATAGCAAATATGACATATTAAAAGACAAAAAAAAAAAGGGAAGAAAAAAATCTTCAAGTGTATCTTAGCTGTAAGACCAAATAAAAGTTCAGCAAAAACTCAAAACTCTCTCCTAAAATGGACTAATTGTCATTAAATGAAATAGAATAATAGAAGGAAAATTTTACTTCTGTGGACATCACTGATGATGTTTGGAATTGCTGTCTTGTTCATATTGCAATAAAAACACTGTGGAAAGTTGGAATGGTTGCATAAAAAGTTCTAAAAATAAGCAAAAGGACTGGAGAAAATACTTTGACTAACTTAAAGAGCTGAACACACTTAGTTTATTAGAAAGAACACCAAGAGGTGACTTGATTACAGTGTCTGAAGACCTTCACGGGGAGAAAATAGCAGGTACTGAAAAGTTCTGTCAGACTACACAGAAAAGTGTAACAAGAACAAACACATAAAACTCTTAAGAGAGACAAATTCAGCTTAGAAACAATGACAGCTCTTTCCTAACATCTAAGGTGATTATTATGGGGAAAAAAGAAAGGGGTAATTTTTCCATCCACTGATGCCTGCAAATCAAGGTCTGCTGCTTTACAATGGATTTGCTTCAGTCAAATACAAGTTACTAGACTCAACACAGGAGCATTCAGAAGAAATGCAATGACCTTCGATATGCAGAGGTGACACAAGTAATCATTCTCCTGAATCATTACTTCTGTAGATCTTTAAAAACTTTGCCAAGGGTTTAGATTTGGAACGTTTTCTTTCAAAATATAGAAGAATTAGCTTGACCTTTTTTCCTTTAAGAAAATCAGAAAATTGAGGAAAAATATCTAAGAAGATTTTATTAGCCTTGAAAAAGTAAATATCCAAAGGTCTTTAGATCTCACATTTCCTATTCCTTGCAACCTTAATTCAATTCTTCAATATGTGTGACATTACAACTCTGTATGCCATATTTTCCCAGCATCCCTTACCCTTTTTCTCCTCCCTAACCTTCCAGTGGAAGAAGAGCAAAGAAGTGCTGTAAAATAGGGCTAGCAAAGAGCTTGATTACTTTTGCCTGGAAACGTCGGCCTGTGTATAAAAGAGGTATTGGCCTTCAAAGTTTTTAGGCAGTATAGATAAAGTCATACACTCATTTAGAAGTTTATAAAATTCAGAAATGCCTTTGAGAATCTGGACTCAATCATCCAAGTTACTTTGAATGTTTTTAATTAAACACCTAAAAATTATTAAATGTCTACATGCCTCTGAAGATATGTGCTTGCAGGTTTAATCAAAATTCCAGATAAAGTAATGCAGTGACTGCTGTTGCTGTCTGACCCTTTCAAGTGGACTCTGATCAATTCCACAAGATGAGGGATTTCCCTGCTTTCCCACAACTCATTTAATTGCATCAAATCATAGAAGGAAATATTTTTGCTCTCTGGGGTTTTCTCACCATACTCTCAAGGTCAAAACAATGATTGTGTAAGGGAATCTTGTCTTCCTTTGCAAAACTAAAATTCTTGATCAAATACCTGAATTCACTTAAGTTAAAAATAATTCTATCTGCTTTAATTAGTTCATCAGGACAGATAGGGTAAACTTAGACATAATTGTAGCATAGGTGGCACAGTAGGAATTAATGACATTTTTCTAGTGCCTGAGGTACAACTTTCAATATTTCCAGTATTATAATATTTATAAACCATGGCTGTATTAACTGCTCATGGGAAATCCCATGTCTAAAAAATGGTTTGTTAAATGCTAGAACTTCTTAAGAGAATGGAAACATTTCTGATACTACATAGGAGTAGAAAGTCCCTCTTTTAAACCGTCTTTTAAGCCTCTCTTAAACCAGCTAGAATCTAATTTCAAAATTAGAAAAAACTCTGATAACTTAAGCTGGTGGATGTCAAGACTGCTTGTAAAAGCTATAAGCAGACCTTGAGCCTCTGTAGACTAAAAACTGGAAGATATATCAAAACTGCAGGAAAACAGTCAAGATGAAACGTAACGCTTTCATTTCATGGGTATATGATGAAAGTTTTTAAGGAGCAAGTTTTAAATTATGTTTACTTACGTGTCAAAAGTAAAATTCTCAAAACTCTTAGGCATTGTTCACTTTCCAAAAATGTAAAGTTCTTTCAGACTGACTTTAGATTGACCCCTAGAAATTTTCCCCTGTCTTTCGACTCATCATTACTGTTCTTTACCCTCTGGAGTAAGACGTGCTTTTAAGACAGTAAATAAGAAGAAATCACACCTCCAGCCTACGCTATCAATGAAATTGTGGTAAAAGAAGAGGGAAGCATGATACCAAGGATCTGGTGTGCTTTCAGAAAAACATCTGCTAGTAAAGCCCCTTAAAGTTATTATCTCAAGCAGAGGAGAGGAGTGTGATTCTAAAGTACATTGTAACATTAGAAAAGCTGATAAAAAGTGAGAAAAAGGCCCTGGTCAAACTTTTATCACGTAACTGTCATAGGATGAAATAATGAAATGTTCCCTGCAGTGTGAAATGAGGGATAGGGAAGGGAGCAAAACTAACAAATATGCTAAAACATTCCCCAGTTTCAGAGGGAGAGTACAAAAGCATAAAATACAATGAGGAATAGCAAACACAGATTTTTCACAGATACTTGGGTAAGTGAATGAAAATTAAAGCTAAAGCACATCTAAAGCAAATTGCAAAAACACCTATCAGCAGGATGCAGGCTCGTTCCACTAGGTTCTCCTGAGTGAAGTATATGGAGATCAAGCAGCTGGAAAGCTTAGTCAGGAAAGCTCTAAATCTCAAGGCTATATTCCGAGTACATTCACTATAATACTGCGTCAGAACAGGAGGAAAAAAACTAAAAGACAATCCAGGAGGATCTATTCCAAACTCATACCATGTCGGCAGGATGGCTCAGCTCTCTCTTGTATATTCGTAATCCAATATAAAATCCTATGCCAATATGAAATGAAGTCTAAGATCTTTTGAAAAATATAGAAAATTAATATGCTACAGATTTCATGTTTGCGTTATATGACATTCTCACATTTTAAATTGCCATATTTTAGCAGTAGAGTATCTAGACGACACTTTATTTAAAGGAAAATGTTGTTACTGCATATTTAATGGTTGCCTGTCTTAATCATCAAATATTTTAGGACACAACAAAGAGTTGTTGTCTACAAAATTATATCATAAAGTGGAATTCTCTTTACTAACAAGCATTTAAGGATACCAATTTTAAAGCAGCTCAAAAAAGAAAAGCATAATTTTGTCTTTTTATTCTCTCTCCAGCATAATCTATGTGACTGTCAAAAGGTATCGTAAAAACCTTACAAATTTCCACTACCGTTTTTTCTCTGCACTAGCCATAAACTGGGCCTGAACAAGATCGTGTGGATTTAGACTGGATGTGGAAGGTTTTTTTTTTTTCCTGAGCTAAAGAACCAGGCTCTG